CGAGGATTCCGATACTGGCTGAGGCAACAAGGGGAGTGCTTTGAAACTGAGGAGATACGACAAAGGGGTTCTTTTTAGCAATTAACGCGCAAACTTGTGTCTTCTGGGGGTTAAACTGGACTAGATTTAGTCGCCCCCAATCCGAGACTCTGTTCAGTAAAGACTCGACTTCAGACACAAGTTTGTCCCGGCACTCGGAGACGTTTTCCCGAGAAATATTGGCTCGGCCGGTGTAAAGAGCATCACCAGTGCTGTCATCTGCATAGCAATGAATGTTACGGATTTGCAACATATCATTGATATGCAGAAGAAACAGCGTTGGCGATAGCACGCAGCCTTGTGGAACACCAGCATTAATAGGCTTGCAATCGGAGCTTGCACCGTCTACAACGACCTTGATGCTCCGATCTGCAAGAAAGCTGGTGATCCAATCGCACAATTTCTCGGGAAGCCCATAGGAAGAGAGCTTCGAAAGAAGCGCCTTGTGCCAAACCCGATCGAAGGCCTTCACAATGTCCAAACTAACAGCCAATGCATCCCCCTTGGACTCTACTGCCTCCGTCCATCTGTGAGTTAGGTAGACCAGAAGATCACCAGCTGACCGACCACGGCAAAAACCGTATTGGCGGTCACTAATCAGTTGGTGATCCTCAAGGTACCTCATGAGCTGGCAGTTTACAATGGACTCCATTGTTTTGGAGAACAAGGCGGTGATGGCGATAGGCCGGTAGTTGGACGGGTCTGAGCGGTCGCCTTTTTTAGGGATCGGGTGGACGAAAGCCGTCTTGCATGATTTTGGGACTACGCCTAGGGAGTAGGAGTACCGGAAAAGACGTGTTAAAACCTTTGTCAACTCTGGAACACATGTCCTCAGCACAACTGGGGGGATTCCGTCAGGCCCACTCGACTTGTGGATGTCCAGGGAGAGGAGTGCTTTGCGAACCGAGCGCTGTGTGAACTGCACTTCCGGCATGGAGCACTCACACCGCAGGATGGTCGGCGGCGTACTTCCCCCGCCATCGAGAGTCGAGTTGGACGCAAAGAAAGACGATCGGCTTTCTCCTTTGCGATATGGGCCAGTGAGTCGTCTTCCCTGTGCAGAGATGGAAGAGATGGCTGACAGAAATTCTCCTGGACAGCCTTGGCGAGAGACCAGAATGCACGGGTTCCAGAAGTAAGGCGAACTAGTTTCTCGCCAATTCTGCCTATGTGCTCTGATTTTGCCTTGGAAATGACTCTTTTGAAGGACCTAGAGGCGGAATTATACTTCTTTTTTAGAGCGCTGGTGTTTACATCCCGGACGTGTCGTCAGCCCAGGCTCGATAGCACTCCTGCTTATAGCATGATGCTATTTTGGACCAAACCATGGCTGAGATTTGCTTCCAATGGGCATTACAGAGGAAGGAATAAAAAGTTCCATACCCTGAAGTACCACATCAGCGACAGAATACGCAACAACGTTGGGATCGTCCGGCGAGAAGCAAACCCACCCCCAAGGGTAGGATGCAAAGAAAGACCGCATCCCATCCCAATCGACTGACCTATAGTGCCAAACACGGCGGCAGCCTGCAGAATGCAACTGCGATTTCAGCGTGAGTGGCACCACACTCCGGACAAGACAATGGTCCGAGGAGTATAAAGGGGCTTCGACAGAAATTTGATATCCGTCCGGGTGAGAAGTCAGCAGAAGGTCCAACAGTGGAAGGTGCATGATCCTCCACATCTGAAATCCGCGTAGGCGAAGTAACCAGTTGTGTCAGACCATATGCCAAGACAAAATCATGAACAGATCTCCCCGCACGATCGGTTAAACGTGAACCAAGCCATTCGGCGTGATGGGCGTTAAAGTCGCCGAGGATCACGATCTCTGCGGAGGGGATCTGCTGTAGCAATGAATCGGTAGCCATTTGGACGTGTTCGAAGAGTTCTTACCTACCCAACATTACCCAAATACCCTTAATTTCAGCATGAGTTTTTGTAGAATTGATCTTCTTGATATATTTTTTTTCTATGAATGAATGCTAATCCATTTCCGTTTAAGACGGAATTAATTTAAGTAAATTGTTACAAATGTCTAATACATGTAGAAAAAAAGATATCGAAAAGTTTTTATTTTTATTTTGACAATAGTAACGCACTATAACAAAAAAGTAAATATATTGGTTACATTTTTCAATTAACTTTTATATTTTTCGTGCATGAAGATTGCTTTTATGTATCTATAAACGATTTTTGTTGCAAAGTACTCCAATTGATTTTTATTTATTAAGCAAGATCATTTCTATTTACGTAACGCAAGAGAAAAATTTCAAGCCCGGCTCACAAAATTAATTTAATAACTTAAAAAATTGAAATTTAATATCGTGTACACTGACAGAAATGAAAACTACGATATATTTAACTTCATCTTATACAAGATTCCTTTTAATTTTAGTTCAAAAAAAATATAAGTGGGTTCTTACAAAATGTCCACAAAGGAGGTTCTTAAAAGTTGATTCACCCAGGTACAATTACTACAAGCGCAAATAATAATCGTACAATTAAAACGAAATTGTCCATGCACCCACTGGCCACTAGGTGAGGGCGGTGCACAGAATTTAGGGCCTGTGGGTGCACGAGTGTGTGTGGTTTAGTTTTTGTTTTAGTTGCACCCAAAACTGTATAATAAATGTGAACAAATCGATAGACAATTTTGTTAATTTTAATATTAGTATTGGATGCATGTGATGTTTATTCGTAAAGGTCACTTAACTTAGACGATTGTTAGCATTTTAATGATATGTCTAGACCCGTCTCACGGTAATTAGAGGTCATCCATCTAATACAATGTCGCCTTTTCATGTCGTATTCATCATTAATCTTATGTTGTTCACTTGTAGTTTTTGTAACGCAGTTGAGTACTCTGTGACGTGACAAGGTAATATGGCTCAGCACGAATATCGATTTGATCAGGAAGCGTATATAGTGGAATAAGACTGCTGTACTTCGTATAGTGAGTGATGAGGACCGGAGACTTTATTTTTGATGTGAAAACTTCTTTACAATCCTTGTGATTTCAAATGTAACGAAAACGCGACACTAAAAAGAGAAACGTATACAACAAACGATTTAGCCTGCGAGAGAATGAAATAGAATACAGTATTCGGTGTTTCCTATTATCTCGGTCTCCTTTTCTGAAGGTTTCGTGTGAACTGCACACGTGTTTTTTTATGTATATAATGAAGCATGTAACTTTGCACCTATTTTTCAAGAATTTTGTAATGAGGCCTTTCCTCTCAGCTTTTTCTCAGACAAATGGCTATAGGCCTGTGCGTTTCCCATACTTGTGTAAAAATAGATATCATCGATTATTAAAAAGAAGCAGTTCATTCCAAGGGTGCTTAAAAGTACTTAAAAGTCATATATAGATGGAAAATCTAAATACATGTTAGGTCATATAATTTTAAATTGATCCTAATTGTAAAAAAGAGATGACTAAGAGCATTAATTTGTTCTAACTGAATGATGCTATAATGATTATTTTATTCCCTCTCCCCATCTGGACGCAAAAGCTATCATACGTGTACACATATTTCTTTAAATTAAAAATTAAAATTAATTGAGTGCTCACAGTGATAAAAATACACGACATAAAAATAGGGGTGCATAGACAGAAGAAGTTCAGTGAAAAAAAAAAAAAAGTGTAATATCCGTTACTTTCCTGATCGCCTGGTACTTCTATTGCCGAGCGTCGTTATAGAAAAATATACGAGGAGTGCAGGACGTACTTACGGACTCCCCACGTAGGTGTGCGTTGCTGCCCTGGTATTACCACAACACTGTTTTTACGTGAACAAATCAGCGCACGCGCAGTATCCAACTACGCCTAATTAGCAAGCGTGCCATTTTGCTTGCTCGGACGTCTCGTTTGCGCGACACCTGTTGTCACCTGTTGCGTTCGCTGCGCGTACGCTACCGCATTACAACACTGATTGCCTAGTACTTATGGACTCATCAATAGACAAATCATTCACCGATGCGGAGTCGCCGCCATCGACCTACGTATCACAACGCAAAAAAAACACTAAAGATGACACGCAGGATCTAATTATTATGCAGTTAAATGAATTTAGGAAAGAAATGAAGGAAATGATAACTTCCTTCTCCTTTAAACACGAAAAGGATTTGGAACTAGTTACAACAAGTTTAAAAGATATACAGCGATCCAATGTCAACATTGAAAATTCGATATCATATTTAACGGCACAAAACGAAGAATTTAAAACAAGGATTAATCAACTTGAGAGCAAAGTAAGTGAAGATAAAAAATATATAACAATTTTAGAAAATAAAATTGAGGATTTACAAATGGGTTGCCGCAAGAATAATCTTCAAATAAAAAATGTGCCAAAGAAAAGTAATGAAAGTAAAGAAGACCTTATTGAGATGGTATTATGCTTATCCCAAAACTTAGACTGCCCAATAACTAAGACTGACATCTTAGACATTTACAGGGTTCGTGGTAAGAAATCTGAGGAGAAGAATACTCCGATTGTGGTGGAAACCAGCTCCGTACTAATAAAAACTGAGATTCTCAAAAAAGGTAAAGCCTTTAACAAAAAACATAGATCTAAAATATGTAGTCAACACTTAGGTATTAAAACGGAAGCCGACATCCCCGTCTTTTTATCGGAGCACCTGACTGTAAAAGGGTCTAGACTGCACTTTCTGGCAAGGGACCTGGCAAAAACCCACTCTTATAAGTTCTGCTGGACTGCATACGGGAAAGTCTATATAAGAAAAGATGAAAACTCTCCTATTGTTATAATTAAAAGTGAAGAGCAGATTCGAAAGCTGCAATTCGAAAAATGACTATCCGGTGTAGTAGTACTATTTTTTTTATATATTACATAAGAATAATTTTTCGCTATTTCTCTACTGGATATTTTCCTTAGATGTTTATTTCTCAATAATATTATCTTTTAAGCTTTTTAGTTACTATAAAACTACATTGTTTTACCTTATGCTTCAAATTTCAAATTGCTATGCTAAAAATGTTAAATTAATTTATTATTCATGTATTACACGTGCTATCACATACACTCATACATCTGTTTACACATCACACTCAATCCTCATACTAATCTTCAAGATATATAGATATACGAGTAAGTTAACATATCAGTTTAAAATAAATTTTAACTTTGTATACTCCAGATTGAGATTTACAGCACCTTATAACTACCAACACCCTACATATTACTATATTTACACGCCTATTACATACACACTACGTATTAATTCACACTCAATACACAATCACACAAGTGCCATACATAAGAGCATCATACAGTACTATTTACATTATGTTACATTACAGTATATAATAAATAATATATTAAATTTATGGTTAATAATAAGAAATACTCAATATCATTTTGGTACTGTAACTATGATAAATTACTATGATGAGTATATAAGAGCCTGTAGCTCTCATATTAAATTGAAAATGACGTCAATACCTGCCTACACACAAAATGGATAATAAGACCTTACAAACTTTACAAGAAATAGATAGTATAGACATAGCGCGGTCTATCGAGTGTAGTAGTACTTCTGACCTAACAAAACAGTATTTATATTAACAAAAACGATCTTACCATTATTTCCCAGAATATTAGAAGTATTTACCATAACTTTGATGATTTTTTAATTACATATTCTAGCCTAACATTTGACACAGATATAATAATTTTAACTGAATGTCGATTAAATGTAAATAAACCTATTCCCCAACTTAATAACTATTGCTCTTATGCTACAAAATATCAGGTGAATCAAAATGATGGAGTAGTGGTTTATGTCAAAAATACGTTACAACCTAAAGTTAAGGAAATACAAATATCACAGGCTTCTTGTCTACAGCTAGATCTACTCAATAATACCATATTATGTATATATCGTTCTCCATCTAACACTAACACTGATATTTTTATTGATTCACTTGATACCCACTTAAGTACATTAAATACCCAGAATAACGTTATAATTGCAGGAGATATTAATATTAATATAAAAACAAAATCTGTAGAACTTCCTAATGAGTTTAAAAATAGGGCAAACTACCTAAATATGCTTTCAACACATGGTATACTTCCTGGACATTGTTTACCCACCAGAGAAAAAAATTGTTTGGATCATTTTATGTTAAAAATTAATAGAAAGAAAGTATCAGCTTTTATAGCAATTATACAAACATCTATCACAGATCATTTTACTACATTTTTATCATTATCTAAGTTAAAGAGCAATATAAGAATAAATAAAACAAAGAATTCTATAGATTTTGAAAAAGCACTTAAGCATCTACGTGACCAAAATTTGCAAGAATTACTGTTTTGTGAGGATCCAAATTTATTAATAAGTCAACTTATACAACGAATAACTGATTCATTGAAAACGTGTACTGAAATTAGAGTTATTCCTAGCAACAAACGGGTCATAAAACCTTGGATAACAACTGGTATTTTACGTTGCATTAAAAATCGAAATAATTTACAAAAACAAGCAAGAAAAGACCCACACGATGAAATACTTAAGATAACGTATAAAAGGTATAGGAATTACTGTAATAATCTTTTAAAACATCTAAAGCGTAAATATGAACGAGAATTACTTGCAAAATCGGTTTCAAATAATAAATTACTTTGGAAGAATATTAAAAACATAACATACTGCAATAAATCTAAGGATCAAAATACAGAGTTATTAAATATAAAATCATCACCACTGCAATCAATCAACTATATTAATGAATACTTTGTCAATATTGGTAAAAAATTAGCACAACAACTAAATTCAAGCGGCCATAACATACAACATCATAACTTGCCTACACAGTCTAATTCCTTTGTACTATTAAATACGGACACAGGTGAGGTGGAGAGCATATTAATGAATTTAAAGACTGATAGTGCCCCTGGTTGGGACGGGATCTCCACTAGATTTTTAAAGTATGCCAAGAACGAACTGATACCAATTTTCACCCACCTCACTAACCTATGTTTTGAAAAAGGCGTTTTCCCGGAGAAACTAAAAAAATCTTCTATTGTACCAATATTTAAGGGAGGGGACAGAGGCAACATCAGTAATTATAGGCCCATATCAATATTACCAGCTATATCAAAAATACTTGAAAAATTAATTAATATTCGACTTCTTAATTATTTAAATTCTTTTAATATATTATCTCCTTATCAGTTTGGTTTTAGGCATGGCAAATCTAGTGAGGATGCAGTTGCTCGTATGACATCATTGGTGGTTGATGACTTAGATAAAGGTCAAAAATGCTTAACTGTGTACTTAGATCTCATGAAAGCGTTTGACACGGTTTCTGTCCCCCTACTCTTATATAAACTGGAAAAAGTCGGAGTAAGAGGTACTGCCCTTAAACTTTTTAGAGACTACCTCTCCAATAGAAATCAATGTGTAAAAGTTGACCAGTTTATTAGTAACGACGCAACTATATCATATGGTGTGCCACAGGGCAGTATATTGGGGCCTTCCTTGTTTCTGCTTTACATAAACGATTTGTGCAACTTAAAAATAGAAAACGCACAAATAATTTCGTATGCTGATGATACAGCAGTTATCTTTAAAGGTAAATCGTGGCAAGAAGTTAAGGAAAGGGCAGAATTTGGGATGGCCCAGGTGGCAAAATGGTTAAATTTGAATTTACTGACCCTAAATGCAGCAAAAACTAATTATATCTGTTTCAGTATATCTAAACGCACGCAACCCTCGGAAGATTTCAATATAAGGATTCATACGTGTAACAACATAAATAACTGCGCCTTTAATAATAACTGTCCATTTATAAATAAAGTAACATATACACAATATTTAGGTGTAATAATAGACCAGAAATTGTCATGGTATTCTCACATAGAACATGTATCTAACAGAATTGCTAAATTAAATTGGATATTTCGTACCTTAAGACATGTGGTGCCAAAAAAAGCGTCCACTGAACTTATGCAAAACAAATTATTAAACGATATATACACAGCTTTGGTACAATCCGTTTTGGGGTACTGTATATCTATATGGGGGGGTGCTTGCAAAACAAAATTTATCCACTTGGAACGTGCGCAACGTGGTTTAATTAAAAATATGTATTTTAAAAACAGAAGATATCCTACTACAAGTCTTTACAATGAAACACAGTTATTATCAGTACGAAAAATTTATGTACTGCACACAATATTAAAGAAACATAAGTCCCTATCTTTTAATCCAAATATTTTACAAAAGAGGAGAAAAGAATTAGTAGCACAAGTTCCCAATACTCACACGTTTTTTGCTAGAGTTCAGTATAGTAAACGCGCAGCAGAATTATACAACAAAATTAATAAACATGTAGGAATTTACACAATGACCCATTACGAATGTAAAAATGCAGTAAAAAAAGTATCTACAACCACTTGATTATGAGGAAATTGAGTCTCTCCTTGAAAAGTCGCTCATATGAATACTCAAATAAGTACAGCACGCACACACACACGCACGCACGCTTGCACTCACGCACGCCACACACATACACACACACACACACACACACGCACACACACACACACACACACACACACACACACACACACACACACACACACCACAAAAGCATGCACGTTTTTATATTAGTTGTCTAAAAGTATTTCAATGATTTTGTTTGTGAAGTTGTGGAAGAGCGGAGCCTCCTACTACAGGCGCTCTGTGCTTAAAGGGAGGCTCTAGCCACTTATTTATGTTAAAATACCTTGTGATTTAAATAAAGAATTATTATTATTATTTTTGGGGTATCTGTATAGTTTTCTCATCTGGTTGGTTTCTATAAATATATAATTATAAATTAAAATGAAAAGATAAATATACATAAATATCAATAAAATAAAATAAATACAAAAAATACACAAATAAATAAAGATCCAACCAGATGGAAGCCCTCGGCAGGGGAGACCAAACGGCCGAGGGTTAGGAGGAAAGGGAAAGAAACCGGCGGACGATGCGGGCGGTATCGAGGACCACCGCCTTCTGCATTTGAGCCCGGAGCGGTCCGTCACGGAGTCCCAGTCGCCTCAGATGACCCGAGAGGCTGACTGGGATTAGCCCGTTTGCAGAGACGACTACAGGAATAATTTCGGTCGGCAGACCACCCCACATGTCGGTCACCTCGTGAGCCAGGTCCAGATATTTTGTTTGCTTATCTGTTTCGGCTTTCACGAGGTTCTCGTCATACGGAATGGTAATGTCGACCAAAAATATCCTTGACTGTGCCCGGTCCATCAGCACAATATCAGGCTTATTCGCAAGAATAGTCCTGTCTGTGATGATGGCCCGGTCCCAGTAGAGCCTGGCGCGGTCATTTTCGAGCACGGCTTCCGGCAAGTACTTGTAATACGGCAATTTCCGGTCCACGAGACCGTATTTCAGAGCGAGCGCCTGGTGTAGAATTCTGGCTACTAGGTTGTGCCTGTGCAAGTACTCAGAGTTAGAAAGCGCCGAACAACCGGAGATGACATGCCTAAGTGACTCCCCGGGATGGCGACAAGCTCGACAGACGTCGACGGTGCCATCCTTTAGGATGTATCTCCGATAGTTGTTGGTCTTAATAACCTGATCCTGTATTGCACAGACAAAACCCTCGGTTTCCCCGAAGAGGTCACCGAAACGTAGCCAGTTGAGGGAGGCGACTGTATCTACGAAGGGCTCATGTAGAGCCCTGTAGTACCTCCCGTGGAGCTCCTTCTCCTTCCATACGGTCTCCCGGTCGGAAATGCTAAGCACTGCTGGGTCCTGCCATTGCTCGTTGGCCAAGGATAGAGGGGTAAGCCCTTTATCACTAGAAATGACGTCATTATAGAATGGATCGTCCGATCTCGCCAGGAAGTAGTGACGAAGGCTGCACACTTCGCGATTATGCATAGTGAGCGCGCTTAGAAAGCCACGCCCACCATGCTTTCGCGGCAAGTACAGCCTCATTACCGACGATCTCGGATGATGCATCCTATGGGACGTCATGGTAGTGCGGACTTTTCTATCCAGGGCGTTAAGTTCAGTCTGAGTCCACCTGAGTATGCCAAAGGTATACATAAGGACAGGCATGACCCAACCGTTATATGCGTGTGTCTTATTCACACCGGACAAAAGGCTGTTAAGCACTTTGGTCAAGCGTGCATAAAACACGTCGCAAACTGACTGTTTCACACCAGCCTCATCGATACCGATGTTCTGTGACATACCCAGGTATCGGTATGTTTCAGCCTCGGAAAGGGTCCTTAAGTTGACGGGCATAGATAAATCTATGCCCTCAGAGTTAGCAACCCTTCCCCTCTCAACATGGAGGACCGCACACTTATCCGTCCCCAGCTCCATTCCAATGGAATTGCTAAACTCACAAGTGATTTTTAGCAATTCCACAAGATGGGAGCGACTGGAGGCGAATAACTTAAGGTCATCCATATAGAAAAGGTGGGTCACCTTTGTCCCTCCTTTCCGTAGCTGAAATCCCCTCCCGGATCCCTCCAGTAAGGTACTGAGAGGGTTCAGAGAGAGGCAGAACCAGATTGGACTCAGACAATCGCCCTGGAAGATACCCCTTCTTATCCTTATGTGGTTCTCCGCAGCCATCATCCGCTCGCCCAGATGACAAAGGATCGTACTCCACTGCCCCATACACTGCTCGAGGAAGTCTCTCACTGTACAGTCTATCTTGTACAGCTCGAGGACTCTCTTTAGCCATGTATGGGGCACCGAGTCGAATGCCTTTCTGTAGTCTATCCAGGCGGCGGAGAAGTTCCGACGGTTGCGTTTCACCACTTTGCCAATGACCGCGTCAATGAGGAGTGGTTCCTTAGTTCCACGACCACCGCCCCGACATCCATTTTGAGCGCGTGACATCACCTGATTTAGCTCCAGGTGACGAGTGATTCTCGCGCTCAAAATGGATGTCAGTGTCTTATATATGGTGGGTAGACACGTAATGGGGCGGTATTTGCTCGGGTCTGTGGTAACCTGGTCTTTAGGAACCAAATGAGTGATCCCAGTAGTGAAGAGGCTCGGTAGCGACTTCTGGTTGAGAGCCTCTTGAAACTGACGGGCGAGCACAGCGTGACACACCACGAACCCCTTCAGCCAGTAATGATGCAGCCCGTCGAGCCCCGGACTTTTCCAGTTCGGGGCCCTACGGACCGCCTCAGCTACGTCATCCGGCGTTATGGTGACGGGGTCCATGGGCGTAATACTCGCACACTGACTCGCCACAACTTCCATCCAAGGGCCCTCGCTGTGGTTTACGGGCTCTGACCACAGGCCACGCCAAAATGCGACAGTGTCAGCCTGATCCGGTCCTGGGCCCGCTCCACATACCTCTGGTCGCTCCAATGATTTGTAGAGCCTCTTCTGATCACTCTGGAAGAGACGATTCTGGTTGAACCGCCTTGACCTCTCGGTAAATCGTCGAATCCGCTTCCCCCAAGCAGCAATCTTTTGCTTCAGGTCGTCTATGCGCTCCGTTAGTTTCTGCGTGATATCCGGCTGGGACAAACTGATATTTGTCCCAGCAAACGCCATCCTAACGGTGCGCACAACCCTCGGTCTATTATTACCCGACCTGAAGCTTATCAGTCTGCCGATAAGGGCCCTTGCCTTTGCGATACGGTCCTCAATTCTTTTTCTCCAGGCTGGGATGGCGCTACTTTGTTTAGTAGCGCGTCCAGCCATGGGAAGTTTATTATTATTATTATTATTATTATTATTATTCCCAATATCGAGATGCCGCTGTTGGAGCAGTCTGTCGAGTACGCTGTATGATAGTTATCGGAGGCGGCTTTTGCCATTTCAAGACAATCCATTTTGAAGACGTTGAAGATGACCTGCATTGGAAGACGTTTTCAAGCTACTGGACTGAAAATGATACGGCATTAACGTCAATGGCGAGTACATCACTCACCTTCGATTTGCCGACGATATAGTCCTTATGGCGGAATCGCTGGAGGAACTAAACACTATGCTCAATGACCTCAATAGTGTCTCCCAACGGATAAGTCTTACGATGAACATGAAGAAAACGAAAATCATGTGAAATGTCCATGTCACACCTTTGTCGGATATTGTTGGGAGCACTAAGCTCGAAGTTGTTGAAGAGTTTGTTGTGAATCCAACTTCGAACGAGAGATCAATCGACGGATTCAACTCAGTTGGGCAGCGGTTTTCTTTTTATATAGTATAAAGGTGGCAAACAAGCACACAGTCCACCTGATAGTAAGTGGATGCTATAGCCTATAGACATCTACATCTACCCTCAATAACGAATCAAAATGCAGTTGCGTTGTCACCCGTGAGGACTAAGATGGAATGTCTCGTTTCCAGTAAAAAGGGTCTCCGGTTCTCACACTCACCAAACAAAACACAGCATCGTTAAACTGCTATTTCACGCTGGTATTCTATGAGAGCCTGGTCCTTGCGAGCGTGGACCCATTAAATCTACAACTATATACATTAATATAGCTGCAGTACGGCTCTACCACGTGTAAAATTGCGTTCGGGAGATTACGACTCATCTTCTCGTCAGACATACCTCAAAACTAGATTGTACAACCAGTGCGTGTTGCCAGTGATGATCTATAGATCTGAAACGTGGTCCTTCACTGATGGCTGTATGAGGGAGCTCTAGTCGTCTAGAGTCGGTTAGCGAGCTATGGAGGGGGCTATGCTCGAAGGTTTTCTGTGTGATAAAAGTAGGAATGGGGGTCTCCAGCTCAGTAGAATCAGAGCTACCGATATAGCCCAACGGATTAGTAAGCTGTAATGGCGGTGAGCACCGATAACCGATGGGGAACAAAGATTCTCCAGTGGCAACCTCATACCGGTGAGTGAAGTGTAGGGACGTCCCCTCACTAGATGGAGTGACGACCTGGTGGATCGTCACTTGTGAACGGCTGCAATAATTATAATGATTATTTTTCAAATTGCTGAAGCAATAGAAATAATATTTAATAAGATCATAATATTGCGTTTCATTTTCATTTCCCTATCCATATACAAATATATATCCATATCCACCTTTATCTCTATTTCTATTTCTGTTCCCATTCCTTTAAAATGTCTGCCCACTATGCTTGTTTTATTTTTATTTATTTTGAAATCAAGTTCTTTCCTGATGGATTTTCAAACCTGTAGAAGCTTCGCAATTTCGATTTTATGTGTAGCAAATAGAGCGGTGTAGTGTTACGATGTGGATATTGGATATGTCTAATATTCCTAAGTAATATTGATTCGTGCTTTCAATAAGTTAAAAGGACTTTTCCAAAACTTGATATTATCGAAAAGTTATATTGAATTACTTTTACCTAAGACGAGTCTTTCACAAACCTAGTTACGTTATTAGAGATTCTGTGAAAAATGTAATATGTCAAGCTCTACTCCGATTTCACATAACAGTAAAATCAAATCTATTATATTTGCAATAAATTTTATTATATTTTAGAACATTGTTACGTTCACCTTGTGATTTCTTATTTATGAATAATTTCTAGTCGCATATTTGCATTGTTTAGGAGAATCACCCATTTTGCCCCGTGATTATGTAATATCCAAAAAGGTCTTATTGCTTTCGATAGATGGCGGAATATAATCTAGTTTATACTAGGTGTAAACACCCAGACTGGTGACGGGAACCGGTATTAAAACATTTCGTGTTTTTCTTTAACAATTTATGCGACTGGAACTGTGATCATTAATCCGTCTGTCAAGCGGGTCGATTGCGATGAATCCTGAGAAAATTAAAAAACCGGGAGAGGCTCATGTCCAGCATAAAACTTTTCCGAGCTGTTGTTGTTGTGGTTGTTCTTGTATATGATGATGAGGACGCATACAAGAAATTTCGCACATTTTGAATAAGACGACATTTTTGTTAATAGAATATTTTTCAGCGAGTTTGTAATTTATAATAAAGGCGAATATAACTTTAAACACTGATTAAACTAAAAAGTAAAGTAAAGTTACAGCCTATATATGTCCCACTGCTGGGCTCAGGCCTCCCCTTATTTCTGAGAGGGTTTAGGGCAAGGAAGTGTCCGCCGCGCTGCCCAAATGCGTGTTGACGAACTTCACATGTCTTCGAAATATTTTTTTTCTTATTCCTCAGACATGCAGGATTCCTCACGATGTTTTCCTTCACCGCCGAGCACGTGGTAAATCAGCACTTAAAATTGCAATTAACAATTTCATTGGTGCCGGCGGGGATCGAACCCGGGTTACTCTCGCGTTCTGTTATATTTACAGCGAGCGTTAACCACTGAGCTACCACGGCTCTATTAAACACTGATTAAAACTACATAATTCGGATTTTATAAAGTTTTAAACTTTTTCTTAATAATCGACGTCTTCAGTTCTTTACACTACACCTGGACAGAACTATTGGTGTCTCAGTGATCATGTGTTAAAATAAACGCGATACACGGCGGCACAGAATAGATAATACTAACGGCGGTAAAAATAGACGGCCTAGTTACATATAACGATATCGGGGAACAAGACTGATAGTATCGGGTAATATCGCTTCCTACATTTCAAAAGGAGCGGTTTTCTGTCGTGTCACAATCACCTCAGATAATCCTTAATCGGTATAATTTAAATCCGTCTCACATGGGAGTCGTAAGTGTGATTTTTCATAATATTATCTTTTTCGGTTTTCTAATCATTATAAGGTAATGTTAACTAAAAATATCTGCGGCAATCCTCGGTACATTCTTAATAATAAACGCTGCAGGTGCATTTTTACATCCGAGGGCTTAGATGGAATGCTTCACAGGATAATTATTCACTATTTAAACGAAGACACACTTTAGTGCAGCTTTAAACTAGAAATAGGTACCAGATAGATTAAATTTGTCATTATTAAAATACTAGTAATACTTAGACTCCAAAGAGTTAATAATTCCTTCATAGGGCTATGAAAAAGATTAAAAAAATAAGGAGCAAAATAAAGGTAATTACACTTTTAAATATCTATTCCCAAGACACAGTCGTAGGACTAAAGAATTAATATGTATAATATTCCACACTATAAAAATCATTAACAACTTCACAAAGGTACATATTCAACACAAACACACACACACACACACACACACACACACACACACGCACACGCACACGCACACGCACATGCACATGCACATGCACACGCACACGCACACGCACACGCACGCGCACGCGCACACGCACACGTGCACGCGCACGCACGCACGCACGCACGCACGCACACACGAACGCACGCCCGCACGCACGCACACACGCACGCACGCATGTAAATATCCGTGAGCCACAGCATCCACTTACTATGAAAAGGACTGTGTGCTCGTTTTATATTATTCTATAAAAAGTTACGCTATTAGAGATGCTAGATATATTTTCAGGACGTATTTTGCGTGCTTATAGTAATTTAAAAAGATAATTCCACTCCCGATTAGATTTTATTAAGGCACCATTATTACCATTGGAAATTTAACGCAACTGTTAGCAAAGTAAAATGGCCGAACGTGACTACAAAAGAAAGGACAGTGTCAAGTACATTCGCAAGAAATAAAAGAATGTAATTGTATAATCGTAAGATACTTATTTCAAATACTTGTGTAATGATTTTTATTTTTATATTGTGAAATATTTTAATGATACCTATTTCATATAGTAAATGTACACAGTCTTATCCTATTCTGAATTCGCCGTGCCGTGAAAATGTATCTAAGGAATGTCACCCTCGTCTCGTTATTGTGGGGTATCCGGGCGAATGTAATCCGCTACCTTAGAACATGAAAGCGAAGGTGGAAAAAAGAAACAAATAATATGTTAAACGTGGAAAAAAAAGAAATACTTACGACATGTATTATTCAGCCGCTCTAAGTCGCTTATAATCCGTAGGTATAGTATGAATATCCAAGTGTGACTGACATTTTTTTTATAGAACGAGGGTGATAAACGAGCACACAGTTCACCTGATGGTAAATGGATGCTGAGGCTTACGGAAACTTAAATCTATCCTCAATTAAGAATCAAAATGTAGATGCGTTTTCACCCCTGAAGAGGAATAAGGGTCTCCGGATCTCTAAATTTTAATGAAAGTTGTCGTGTAACGGCGGCGCAAGTGAATCCAGTACTCCATATCAACCACATCATCCCGTGGGTATCGTAAGAGGCGACGGAGGGGGACTGAAACTGGAAATGGCTAGCAGCATCATCAGTAGCGACTCAATCATAACGATGGAAAACTGAGGTTGCGACACCGCCGGCTGAGCGTGGTTCTATGAAAAAAATTCCTTCCTATGAGAAAATCTATGGAGGAGGCCTGTGTTCAGCAGTAAGCTTTTGATGAGCTGTAATGAATGAACGATTGAATGCAAATGAAAACAAACAAAAATGTTTGCTTACTTTTTATTTTTTTTGTATCTTTTTACTTTTTATTGTTATTTATGAACGTTATTTTGAGTTTTCAGGTGGTTTGGTCATGTGGAAAGAATGAATGAGGAAAGAGTGACAAAGAAAATTTGTGTTAGAAGTGAATGGCAGAGTCGGAAAGGGACGTCCTAGGCGAAAATTTATCGACCAAATTGGCGATTTATTGAAAATGGGCCAAATTAGGAGTACCCTTAACCGACGAGCATGTATGCGTAGGTGTATGGATGTGAAGGAGGCGAGAGAGGTGTGTCAGGATCGTGCCAAAT